AAGTCTGAGGGAATGTTCTAATGTTTAAAAGTAGGCTGTAAAAAATAAATTAATTAAAAAAAAAAAAGTAGGCTGTAGTTGAAGATGAATTACACCGAGCGGAGAAGGTGCAAACATGCAAAAGGGCAAACCGTCGTAGTCGGCAGGATTCGAACCTGCGCGGGGGGACCCCAATGGATTTCTAGTCCATCGCCTTAACCACTCGGCCACGACTACATCTTCGACGAGCATTTCTCCATCTCCTCCATGTTACCGTATATATCATGTATTCTAAACTACTTCAGGATTTACTAATACAAGAGAGAGAAGCAAAGAATCCCCGTTAATGAAACCGGAGAGGAATCAACCAACTTCCATTCTAGCACATGGTAAATTGAGAATGCTCTTTGGGTCTTTTCTAGAAAACAAATCAGCCATATGTTGCAATAATTCTCTTTAAATTATCCCCTTTAAATAATCCTTTAAAAATCCTCATATTCTTGCTGAAGTAGGAACTTTATCCTCAATAAATAATCCGACAGATGTCCTTACAGATACGCTATGTCTTCAGACACCTAATCCAGGGCCTGGAATAAGGACTCGATAAATGTCAGCTGCTATTGTAAGCATCATTTTTAAATTTGGGAAAGGGAACCCATCAAAATGTTCCAAAGGGAAACCTGTCTCCTATTTTTTGGTAAAGATCAAAATATTTTAAAGCATTCATTCATTTCTTCATCCTTTCAAAAATTTTATTCTGAGCCCAATCACGTGCCAAGCACTCTGCTAGGTGCTGCTATTCAGTGGAGAGCAAGAAAGATATAGCCGCTCCTTGCGTGATTTCCAGAGTAAGCAATTATAGAAGTGAACATTTACAAGTGAGTGTGACAAGTGAGGTCCCATGGGCCAAGTAGCCTCTAGGAGTCATGCTCAGCCCCAGGAGCCGACATCTTAGATAAGTGCCTGGAGAATCACTCCTTAGACTCCAAGTTTCATGAAGAAAGTGTCCAGCTCTACCTTTGCTGCCTCTCAATGGGTAAGTGGGTACTCAATGACTATATGTGGAATTAATCATATTTAAGCCCAGATCTGAAGGATGTGTAGGAGTTAGCCAAGTTGGAAAGGGGTGTGGTGTTCTAGACCTAAGCCTCACAGAATATGAGAGAAACTGAAGAAACTTCTGTCTTGCTGGAACTTGTTTTTTGGAGAGATCCAAGGAGGGGCAGCAATGAGAGAGCTCTGTGCCTTTTCTTTAGGGCCTCTTTAAATAGGACAGCTTCTTCCAAGACTTTTTTTTTTTTTAATTGGAACTTATACTACAAAAATTTTAAAACATAAAAAAAGTTGAAAAGGTAAGGAATTATCTGTATACCCACCACCCCGATTCAACAATTGTTAACATTTTGCCCTATTAGTCTTATCTACCCTCTTCTTTGGGAATATAAAATTCCTTTGCAGACATCACAATGCTTCCCACCTACACATGTACTCGGGTATCAACCATGCCCATGTCTTATATAACCAGGATACCATTATCATAACGAAAACCCTGGTGATTCTTTATAAAAATATCTACTATGCCAGCCTTATTTAAATTTCTCTATGTTTTTTGGAGCTGGGGTTTCTAACCAGGATAGAGTCAAAGTTCATGCATGCATTGCATTTGATTTGTAATGTTTCCTTGGTCTGTTTCAGTTCAGAACAGCGTGCCAGCTTATTGTTGCTGCTATTGACATTGACTTAAAAAAAAAAAAAATCAAGCCGGTCGTCTTGTAGACTGTCCCACACTCTAGATCCGGTTCATTGTTTCCTCAAGGCAACTTTCAATTTATTCCTTGACCCTCTTTAAACTAGAAGTTAAGTCAAAATGATCGATTAGGTCCGTTTTGGTTAGATTAGAGTCCTGTTAAAAATTGGGGCTTGACTTACTCGCTACAGTATGTACGTCACTCGAGGAGGCACTTGTCAGGGGTCCCCTCGGAGCTTTCTTTTACCCTTTGGAATCAGCAAGTAATCTTGAGGTGGTCCTTTAACACCTTGCACGCGCTGCTTCCCAAACCCCTAAGGGTCCCAAGGGTTTTGAGATCGTGAATGCTTTTTGCTGAGTGTCTGATTTCTCTGGGGATCGCAGATGGGGAGTCATCTAATCCCACCACTCCCCTACATTTGTTAGAGGGCATTGTGACGCTCGACCTTTCCGCTGCCTTTCCCCCAACCCCCCACAGTCTTTCCTGGGGTTCCCACGACAGCTTCACGTCCGGCGGTTATAGCAGTCGGGGTATGCAGGTGCGCGGGTGGGCAGGTGCGAGGCGTCGGGCAGCTGCGGGCGTCAGGACTCCGCGGGCTCGCGGGCTGAACCCCGGGTCCGAGACAGCGCCCCAAAGATCCTGACTTTGTGGGTGGAGGGGAGCGCTGAGAGGGACCGGGTGGGGCGGCTGGCCGGGAAAGTTTGCATTTCCGAGAAGCCACCAGGGGCCCGGCTGGTCTGTGGCCCCAGAGAAGAGGCTGCACTGCTGTCGGGGGGCAGACGCTCGGGGGAGATGGGGAACAAAGGAACAAAAAGAAAAGAGTGGGGGGTGGAGGAGTCAAACCCGGGTGAAGAAGCTATTAGGTTATCGTGAAACGGAGAAGATTGTGTTTGCCGACTTTAACCGAGAAAAGTGAACCACCGAGGCCACCCTAGTGTCTGAAAGGGAGAATAAAGAAGACCCCCAGCAACCACGAAGGGATTCGAACCCTCAATCTTCTGATCCGAAGTCAGACGCCTTATCCATTAGGCCACGTGGTCATCCTGCAAGTTGGGGGGGATGTGTGTCTAAAATTTGTTGAAAGAAAGTAATCTTGGCGGGATAACAAACACCAGGGGAAATTATCGGTATAAACCAAGGCATTTCCAAAAACCTTCCAGTCTAGACTTTTAAGCCGGAGAACACACCGAGGTTTCCCTGAGGGAGGGCGGTGGGGCTTTGGGGGAAAGGGGGGACGGTGATACAGGAGTCGCCTGTTGTAATGAGCAGGGGGTTACACTTATGGGAAGAATCGCTGAATTCTACACCTGAAACTAATATTAGACAGTATGGTAACTAACTGGAATTTAAAAATCTTGGGGAAAAAACAAACAAATCCTACAGTTTAGTTGGAGAAACCAGTTGATCCTAATGGTCAAAAAAACATGGTAAAGTTACAACTGAGATAACCAGCAAGGAGGGGAATATGGTGCGACAATAACCAGTAAGACAGAGCTTACTTCGGAAAGGGATCTGGCAGAAAAGGCCACATGGAGGAGGGGACGCCTGAGCCAAGGGCTGGGGGTGGGGGGAGGCAGGCAGAGATTGTGGGTAAATGAGAGAATTCACTTCTGCACACTCCAGAAACCCCGCTCAAAATAACTCCAACAGAGAAGTTCAACTAGGACAAAAACAGCTGGGGAGAGGAGATCACAGCAACCGTAGTTTGTTATCTGGGAGGCCAATGGAGGTGTGATAGATGACTTGTCAGATCCCAGAAAGCTGAATCCTAATTAAGTCGTGTGGAAAAAGCAGAGTCGGTCAAATGGTCAGATTTATCCATAAACCCTCCGTCTTCTTGCCCCAGGGCCAGGCTCAGGGATGGTTAGCAGGGGTGCTCATCTGGAAACTGCCTGTTAGGGGTGGGATTGTTTGTCCTACTGCCAGCCGCCTTCACGTGCAGAAGCCCTAGCCCCCAGCACCCCTGAATGTCACTGTATTTGGAGGCAGGGCTTCCAAAGACATACATAAAGTAGGGTGAGGTCATAGGGGTGGGCCCTGACCCAGCATGACTGGTGTCCTTATAAAAAGAGGTTGGCGTACACACACACAGAGGAAGACACACCACGTGGACCCCGGGAGAAGAGAGCCATCTAGAAACCTTGCTGACAGGGTTGATCTGCTTCTAGACTCCAGAACCCAATCTGTGGCCCTGAGTTGTAGAAGCCCTAGCCCACTCATTCACTGCCCTTCCTCCACCCTGGAAGAAGACATTTATTTTCTTGAGACAGGAAAGTATGTCATCTCCAGGCTGGGGAAGTGATGCTCAAACCGTCCCCTGAATCACAATCGCCTGGAGAACTTGTTAAAACACAGGCCTCCAGGGCCCACCCCCAGAGCTTCTGATTCGGTGGTTCTGGGATGCGGACAAAGATGAACATTTCTAACAAGTGTCCCGCTGATGCTCACGCTCCAGTTCCAGGGAGCGCTTTCTGAGACTCACGAGGCTGGAGGGAGATCCTGCTCTGACTTGTCGCTCGTGGCCTTCTATACAGACTAGAAGGCCCACTCATTCTGACTGAGAGGAGCAAGTGAGAATTTTAGGAAGAGATGTTATTTATTTTTATTTTTTAAAATTTAAATTCAATTAATTAACATACAGTGTATTATTCGTTTCACAGGTAGGGTTTAGTGATTCATCAGTTGCAAGGAGATGTCATTTAAACTTGGCTTTGGAGACTGAGCTTTTCAGCAGGTTGAGGATGGAACTGGTAGACGCTGAGAAAGGAAGGAGGTGGTGCCTGGCCAGGGTGGGCACTGCAGGGCTGGGCAGGGCTGGGGGCCTGTTTCAGAAGAGGGAGGAGTCTAGTGAATTGAAGGAAAAGTAGTAGTGCAAAATGTATAACCATTATGACTCTTATTTCACTGTGGATCTAAACCCAGTATGTATGGGATTTGTCTCCAAACAGAAGAACTTTAACAAGTGGAAAGACTGAGCATGAGAAAACACTGAGTACCCCCCCCCCAACTCCGCAAAAGGAAGCATTTGGGTTTTTGTGTCAATATTGAATCTGGTCGATTCTTTTTTTTTCTTTTCTCTTTCTTCCTTTCTTTTCTTTTTGTTTTTTTTAATTCCTTTCTTTTCTTAACAAAGCATTGGGGAGGTTATGGATAGAGCGGACAAAAATGATTAACTCCGCCAATAAAAAGACAAATCTTTAGAACCTGAAGGAAAGGATAAAAGATTAACTAGGATTTAAATCCTAATTTAGAAGAGAAGAGCCTCCTCACTGTGGCCTCGTGGCGCAACGGTAGCGCATCTGACTCCAGATCAGAAGGTTGCGTGTTCAAATCACGTCGGGGTCAGTTGTGGGTCTCTTTTTAGGGGGAAGAAGAAATGAAAAGCAACATCGTTTCCCTCAGAAGTACCAAGTTGATTTATATGTCTCATTCTGTCCAGTTCTGTTTTCTTCTGTTGTTAGGACTTGGAGAAACCTACTTTATGGCCCAAATTCTTCTTTTAAGATCAACATTGATAGCCTTTTAATTTGCTGCTGTAGCTTCCTGCCATTCTTCCCCTTCAAAGCATCCTAATCACAGCTGCCAAGTAAATACTGTAAGTTCTCTGTTCTGAAGAAGAGGTGAAAAGATAAGAGTCTAGAGCAAGATAGAGGCATATGAAAAACCTCCTGGATTTCACCTGCTTCATAGAATCCAGATTCGGAGTTCATTACCTCCCTGAAACCCAAGCTCAAAACTCACTTCGGTAAAGATAATTTTCATCGATTGTTAATGTTTTTCTGTGTTGGCTTTTTCTCCAAACTACTGAAAAGTCCTTAAACACAGGGGCCATAATTCCTATTTATTTCCAGGCTCCCTTTGGCTTTTGATTCCAAGGGCCCACACGGATCTCAGCAGGATTTTCTTTACTATTCTCACTTCTGATGACTATCCCTTCCTTGTCCAAGCTTGGGTCCTCATAGCAGAATGACAATAGGTCTTTTTTCCAAAATAAGATAACTTGCTTCAACTTGGATTGAGTGCTGTGACCTAGTAGTTAACTGAATTGGCTTGCATCATAAAAATGAGATATTTTCAGAATTTGTTTTCATTAATGATTTAAAGGCGGTGGGGAGGGGATGGAGAAAGAAAGACTTTGTATATCTATATCTGTATATCTATAGATATAGATATATATTATTAACATATAATGTATTGTTTGTTTCAGGGGGTACAGGTCTGTGATTCATCAGTCTTACACAGTTCACAGCACTCAACATAGCACATACCCTTTCCAATGTCCATCACCCAGCCACCCTATCCTCACCTCCCACCCTCCAGCAACCCTCAATTTGTTACCTGAGATTAAGAGTCTCTTATGGTTTGTCTCCATTTCTGGTGTCTTCTTGTTTCATTTCTTTCCTCTCTTCCCCTATGATCCTCTGCCTTGTTTATCAAATTCCACATAATAGTGAGATCGTATGATAATTGTCTTGAAGGAAAGACAGCTTTGTATGTTGGGTATTTATACTTGTTTTTCACCTTCAAAAGCCTCCAAGGGCCACATATCAGTTTCACCTTTCTTTTAGGTCACAAATTTTCTCAGAGTGTTTCGGTATATCTTTTTCTTTCATCGGGTTTAAGGAATCCAGGAGAAAAAACGTACCATATTAATGTTTTACTAATAAGGCAGAGACAATGGAACTGTAGCTGTGAGGACAAATAAAGAGCGCTTAGGCTGTGGGGCATTGGTGGTTCAGTGGTAGAATTCTCGCCTGCCACGCGGGAGGCCCGGGTTCGATTCCCGGCCAATGCAACATTGTGTCTTTTTATAAACCACGGCAGGGGTAAAAATATTTTCCCTGAAAAATTACAAACTAAAAATACTGTGAGGTAACTGTGTTTCTTGTATCCGAGTATGGCTGAGAAAGATCAAAGTTAACCCTCCTTTTGCAATTTCTCCTTCAGAAATTATGCCAATAGGCATGCATTTTGTTTTCTAATGACCCGAAACATCATCCTATTGGAGCCGGAGGACACTCCGACCTCAACTGATTGGTCTTTCGGGGCCGAATTGTGAGCCTCTAGTATTTGAGGGCTGAGTGTAGCCATGTACGGAGATCAGGGTATCCTTATTGTCTTGGCAGCGATCGCTGAAAAATAACTGGAAAATTCAGAAGGCGCCAAAATTTATCGTCTTGAAATTTAATCTGAAAAAAAAATGTACGCTTTTTTTTCAGAGTGAGCAGAGTGGCGCAGCGGAAGCGTGCTGGGCCCATAACCCAGAGGTCGATGGATCGAAACCATCCTCTGCTATCCTTCTTGTAACTCTTTTGTTTAAAAGCAGATTTTCGAAAAAGGGAGTGAATAAAGTTGGTCACTATCAGAAAGGGTCTGTGGACCAGTTCTGGATGAGTAAGAATCCCCAAGGCAATTTGTTGCAAATCCCGTTTCCTGTCTTTAACAGAGGCAAATCTCTCCAGTGTGGCTGATTAGTGTGTTGAAATTCAGTCTCTGACTAGGGGACCATTACACCTGTTAGGGACTGAGTGCCACCCTAGCAATCGCTTTGGTATCTCGCAGGTCAGGCAAGCGTTACAATTTGTAATAACGTCTGTTACCGGCGTCTCGATATTCAAAATCGTGTTCTTTTTAGTGTGATGGCAGGTACTCCAGAGCAGTTGTCATGGAAATCAACAGAAAGAAAGGTCATTTTGTAAACTGGAAAGGTGTTATTTCTCATGGGAATATATCCAGACAGACAGGCAGCGGTCGTGTAGTCGTGGCCGAGTGGTTAAGGCGATGGACTTGAAATCCATTGGGGTCTTCCCCGCGCAGGTTCGAATCCTGCCGACTACGACGTAGTGTTTTATTTCCAGGTGTTAACACCTGCTGTACCAATTTCGGAAACTGCAAAGCACACAAAATAGCATGATATACACCGTTTTCCTGGGTATTATTATATTTCCCCGTGAAATGTAAACAGGCAGTCTAGTCCTTTAGTGTAGCAGTGGGTGAAGAACGTTTTTGAAAATGATTTTGGGAAAACACTAGGCATTTCTGAGACCACTGTATAAAGTTGCTGAAAAAAAAAGCCAAACGTTAATTCTTTCTTTAATTTGCTATTTCCTTATCTGAAATCCAGCTTGGGTCTGACTTCTGAAACCTTGCTTGCCTCTTACTTCTTCCACTTGACGTTCTTGCAGGGCATTACTATCCTACTCCTGAGCACCTTTGGTGTTTTGGAATCAATAACTCAAAACAGAAATTTCCAATCTTTCCTCCTCCTGGGTCCCTCCTATCATTCCACTCAGTAAGCCAGAATTAATTGCAGAGAGGAAGTACAGGACAGAGAATTTTCAAAACTGTTTTCAGACCTTGGCTAAATCTCATTAAAAAAACAAAGCTGTTTTGCTGGATAAAACTTAACACATACACAATACTGTATGTGAAACATAAATAAGAGTAAATGTAACAAAAATTTATCTTTTATTACACTTGCATGAAGATAATAAAAAAAGAAGAAAGTAAAAATACTTAGAAATGTGAAAGTTCTTAATCCTTGAAATTACTAGAAAATTCCCATGTTATATTTAAATTTTTTCTTGCATTTTCTATATTCATACATGTCCTAAGAGATTTTTCGGTGTTGACAGTTTCTTCTATAAATCCATAGGTAGCAAATGTTCACTGTCCAGGTTAGGAATTTAGTATATGCACAGTTTAGATTTTTCCAAGAATGCGGTAGTAAGCCCTCCGTGGACCCTGGGGAAAGTTCCAGGCAAAGATGAGCTCTGTTGGATCCCTCCCCCGACTCCCCACCCCCGCCGAGCAAGTTTATTGCCTCCTTGGATTCTGGGACAGTGAACCTTCTCCACCTGTCCCGGACAGGTACTCAAGTGCCACTCACATGTAAAGAGCGTCCAAAAGCTTGCCTTGGAAAGCGGTTGTTCGTGGCCCCATGGTGTAATGGTTAGCACTCTGGACTTTGAATCCAGCGATCCGAGTTCAAATCTCGGTGGGACCTGTCAACCTTTTCGTGTCTTCCCCCTTAAGTTACACCTGCGCCTTGACTTGGCCAGAGACACCTGAGCTCCTGCGCGCCTCACTAGCGCATCACGGTCGGCGAGGCGACACTGCAGGCGAGGCTGTTTTCTGAGCTTTCTTCTGGAATCCTACGTCGGTCCCCCTGTGCCCCTCCTCCTTCGCTGGGGAAGCAGGTTATCGTCCGAACGCCCTAAGTACTGTTTCACACCCCAGACCTCAGTTCTGGGTTTGGGTTCCATTAGTTTCTAACATGAACGTGACCTTGAGAAGCTCCTGATGCGGATGCGCCCCAGTTGCTTTGCTCTCTGGGATACAGCAGATTTCCTATTAATATTTAAGAAATTCAAACTATAGTTCACAACGTGCTGAACACAATGAAAAATTCTGCATTGAATATTCAGAGATTTTCCGTCAAGAATATGTACAATGTGGCCCCATGGTGTAATGGTTAGCACTCTGGACTTTGAATCCAGCGATCCGAGTTCAAATCTCGGTGGGACCTGCTCTGATTTTGGTGACCTCACCCCATATTTCAAATCGCTATTGCATCCTAGTGTGTGGGCAGGATCTTTCCACTCACGCTCTCTCCATCGATTCCTTACTCTCTTCTCACTTTATGAAGAATGACCTTTTTATATCACCTTTGTGTCCTTGTAGAGCACTCACACTGACTCTCCCGGATCTCAAAGTCCATCTGATCTGCTTTAGTCTTAAGGCCCTAACAGTTTTTGTGCCAGAAACCCCTCCTTCTTTTCTACTCCTGTAGCTCCTCAAAATATAAGGGCCGGGAGCAAAAATGTGCATAACAATTCCATCAGAAAGTTCCTGGGTAAAGGACTCTTTGGTGTTCCCTTCTTGGCCTTTTGGCTAAGATCTAGTGTAGGAGTCTATGGTGAGCACTGTGGGCTCTAAACCCAGTAATCTGAGTCCACATCTCTTTGGGACCTCATCATCCATCGGCAGTTTTCCTTCTGTGGTTCTCCTAACTCGTTTACTCACCTTCTGGAATTCTACACATGCCATTTACTTCCAAATCCACAACCAAATCAACATAGAGTCCTTGGCCAAGAGAAAATTGTCTTTGACTACTCCCCCACCGCCCCCTTAGAATCCCTCTTGGTGCCTGTTTTTGCTTGGCCTGGTGCCTGAAGTCAGTCAGATCCACGAGCGTTAATTATGTGCTTCCGGTGATGAAGAGTTCATGTCACAGGTCCCACCTGTGACTTTTCTTCCTATGAGGTTCATGCGCATCCTCTGTAGACCTGAAAATGTCCCGACCAGGGAGAGAAACCCCCACCATCATAGTCATTTGAGAGTTTCCACTGTTTGCATACCAGAGACCCTCCTTTAATGTGTCTTCGATTGAATTTACACCCACACACCTTGAAGATCAACTGACCGGATGCAATAGTATCCATGTCTTCCCTTGAAGGTCTGTTGTCACAGAGGTCTCATGTGTGGCGATCAACCTTCTCTTTAGACATTGGACCCTAAATTCCTTCTCTTGACTCTCTCTCATTCAAGCATATCCTCCAGTGTTCTCAGTGACAGCAAAAGAAAAGCCCCCAGAAACTCCAGTGGCCTCTAAACATCGTTCTAGAAAAAGCCCTGCAAACTTCCTCAGAGCTAAGCCCCAGTCATGGCAATGTTTTAGAACATTAGAATGTTTACGTAATGTATTAATTTCCTACTGCAGCTGTAGCAAATGACCACAAATTTAGTGGCTCAAAGATGACAGTCTACTTTTCTTAGTTGAATCTGTAATCTGAAATCAAGGTGTCAGCAGGTTTTCTGGAGACTTCAGGGAAGAATCTTGTGTCCTTGCCATGTTCAGCTTCTAGAGGACTCTTCCCTGTGTTGCCTCTTGCTTTTGCAGTCATGTTTCCTATTATTGACTCTGACCTTTCTCTGGGTATCCTTGGAAAGCCCAGGATAATCTCTTCGTCTCAAGTTATTTTTAATCCTCAATTTAATCGCATCTGTAAAGGTAAGGTAATGTATTCACAGGTTCTGGGGATTGGGATTTGGGCCTTTGTTAGAAGCCATGGTGCAGCTTACCACAGCCTCCAGTACTAAACAGCACGTGTCTATTAATGCTCTTTGGATTGATTCTGTTCATGAGGACTTTTCTCAGAGGTAAAATTCGGATCCAGGTTCCACATGCCTTTTTTTAAAGAGGCTCTTCTAGAGCGGCTCCCTGGTGTGATGATTGACATCTGAACTCAGATCTGGTAATCTTGGGGTACCTTGTGTCTCCACCTTCTCAATGGCCTTCCCTCCCAGCCACAGGCTCTCTGGGCCTTCAGGCCTTCCTGAGTTTCCTGGTTATCCATCCAGTGTGTAATTACCAGCAGGACTGGCATGAATTACTGCAGCACTGACACTTCAAACAAGATGTTCTTCATCTTACAGTTGCTCTGGGTCTCCAGGGTGAGCATCGCTGGGTCTTTCTGCTTCAGTGTCTTTTGTGATCGGCCTTCAAGGTACGGGCTGGACTGGGGTCATCTCAGAGCTCAGCTGGGGAAGGATCCGTTTCCAGGCTCATGTTGTGTGTGGCAGGATTCAGTTGCTTAAAGGTTGTGGAACTGAGGGCCTCAGCTGCGGGCTGGTTGCTGGCTGGAGTCCAGCCACTTGGACCTTACCAACGTGGCAGCTTGTTTTGTCAAAGCATGTGAGCTGAGAAAGCAACCGCGCAAATGTTTTGGTAAAGTCGGAAATCACACTGTTGTAATCTAATCATGCGAGTGAGATCCCATCACATTTACTGTGTTGTGTAGGTTAGGAGCAAGTCCCTGGGTCCAGCCCTCACTGAAGGGAAGGTATTTCACAAAAAGTACGTTTACCACCCTGGGTTTCAAAGGCTCTAGAGATCCCGAAGCTGAATGGCCTTCTGCTATGACTGATACTTTGCAAGCAGCTTTTTATTTTATTTATTTTTTTTGGCTTTGTCAGTGATTGCTATATCGAGAGCAATTTCCAGTACCTCCCAATTGGGAAAATTACTTCTAGGTGTTAGCTTTTATAGTTTTCCTTTATCTTTCTTTACAATTAAGCCAGCATTGAAGAGCTCAACTATCACTCTTCTAATATCACTCCTGACAGGGGAATCAGAATCTCACGGTGTAATGCCCAGATTTGGCTATTTTCCCAAAGTTCCTCCTGGATTCAAATGTGCTGGAAACAGCGAGGCCCACTGAGCTGATTTTTCCCTGACCACCCTAACCAGCCAGCTACCACTCCATGGCATTTGCTACTTTCTGACATAGTGTATGTTTTGAGTTTTTAATTATTTGTTGCCTATTTCTGCCTAATTCACTTTCACTGGGAGAGGGGATTTTATGCATGGTGTTCGTTCCTGTACTTAGAACAGGGCCTGGCACATAAGAGAAGCTTAATAAATATTCTTGGAAAGATTGAATCAATGAAAGAATCAACGAACTCTTCAGTTTAACGCTGGTCATCGTTTTTGACCATTCCCAGCTCTAACAGCACCAAACCCAAATACATTTTTTTCTTTCCAGAAACATTTTAGAATCTGTCACTCTCTTAAGCTTAAAAACAAGTACAACTTTGTATTTTTTTTACCTGTTTACAGGTATTTATTATATTGATTTGATAATTAACATTTGCTATTTATTAAATCATTCCTTGGTACCTCCTAAGAGCCTGCAATTTGAAACCCGATCACGTCATAGAGCGGTGTGCACACACATGCAGAGTTATTATTATTATTATTTTTGTTTAATGACCTTGAATGTAGATGAGAAAGAGAAAAGCAGCCAGGGACCGCTAGTGTTCTAAATTTAGCTTCA